AAACCCTCACTCGAGCGACATTCTGGCTGTGACCTCATATCCATCTACCCTGGTGCTGGTCTTTGGAATCGTGCTCTCCATGACGTCCTTCAGCCGCGATCCCACATCCTCATGGAGCCAGACGGCGAACTCTACAAACCCTTTTTAGATCCTCTCCTCGACCTCCCGGGCACTCGCTTGGTCCCGAAATCGGGCATAGTATGGACCGAACTCAACGAGGTCCTCGATCCTGCCTACCTGCCTCATCAGGTCGAGCGCTCGAGCGAGCCGCCCACTCGCAACGACACCCTCCTCATAACCGCCAACCTAGCCTTCTTCCCAAAGAAGAAGTTCCGCACCTTCACCTCGGTCGCCAGCCTCGTTCTCTATCAGCTCATCAGCAGCATACGTGCGTCGTCTTTGTTTCAGAAATACGGGCTTGTGCGGATATTAATATGGGTTGGAGACGATGAGAAGTCAGCAATATTGCCCCGCTCTGTGCAGCAACGACGGCGCTTGGCCGTAGAGGGCGAGCTGGCAACCGACTGGATCACCGAGATATGTGGCGCCGATGTTCCGAACTCCACAGGCAGGTCGAAGCCGGGCTGGTACTTCCGGGACCGACAGATCGAGCTCGAGAGCTGTCGTAATGTCATGGACAAGATGCTCGAGCGCGGGACTGTGATACCAGCAGGAAGAGAAAGCAAGCTCATCCAGGACCTTGTGGCCATGGGCACGAATAGTCAAACACTTGGGGCTGCTGGCAGCTTTGCTGCGGTAATGGACCGGCCATACAGAGCTGAGCTGGATGCTTTGGAGATGGACTTTGCACGGAAAAGGTTCAACACAACGTCGGAGAAATACGATCGACTCAAGAAGCTACGATACCGCCGGGACTGGGATGCGACAAGGGGTAACACGATCCTCGACTTGCTCCACGAGCGTGACGCCATCGTCGATGACATCGAGAGTGGCAAGGAGGAAGTCCAGAATGCGGCCCTCGTACGCGCAAAGGAATGGAGCGCCACGGTTCATGGCTTGAACAAGAATCTACGACAAGAATTCGCCCTGGGCAGAGATAACCTCCATGTGTTCCAACAAGACCCGCCTGTGCTCAACTGGGACCGACGGCAACTTGAGCCGCTCATCGTGCAGCCAACGGAGTTCTTTCCCAACATTCCCTGCTCTCTCTTGGATATCCAGCCGAAGGTGATGCATCACATGATGCGGGATATTGGCCCCCAATCCAAGCACGCTGGGGACACATTCGAACTGATTCTTGGAGCTCTGGTGCAGAATTCCACGATCCCGGTGTCCAAGGCGCTCGAGACTGTGTGGCCCGGCGCGGCGGACGGCGTGATACCTCACTGCCCGAGCCTGCGGGACCGGAGCCAGGGTGGAGTGCCCCTCGACGGCTGGGGTCAGGTTTCGCCGCGAGCGCTCAATGAAAGACAGCTGTGTGAGATCCTTGAGGCATGGATGGGGAATTGGCTCTTTAGACCAACCTTCTCTGATCTCGTGGGCCGCATCGTAGAGGATCAGGGTGAGGATGTTGAGGAGGAAGACGCCGGCACGCGTGCAGCAGCGGGCGCGACGTTTTAGTGGGAACAGCTCTGTTACAATGATCTGAGGAGCTTGATGAGTTGATGGACCCATCTGAAAAGATTTGACCCGTTGTGTCTCACTGACGTGTTGCGGTCCGTCAGAGAGAGGAAAGTACTGTAACCACATATGGTATCTACTAATTGTATAGTAACGCCACTTCAATGATACCCCCATTGCATACTGTACTACTGCTTCGGACGACCTACCAATCGCGGTCACACTGTAAGGTGTATGGGAAGCAGCGTCTGTAGTGTAGAGAGGCTTTCACATGGCAGGGACCAGCCTGGATGATCATTCGGGGAAGACAGGGTAGCTCAATGCTTGGCATGCAGTGACCTGGGTATGAAACAGGGTCTCGATGATCCGAAAGGCTGAGCAGCTTGAGACGGGACATCTGTGGCAGCCTTGTGCTTGGCCAGACAATACAGCACTGATATCAAGCAGATCATGTCACAAGCTTTCTATAAGTCGACACAAGGGATTCGACAGCTGGTGTTTGAAAACATGGATTCCATCATGATTGAGTTGATGGCTTAGAATAGATCTCGTCCTAGTCTTCTCCTGGGGCGCTCATGGGTGATTGTGACTAGGGGTGGAGTACGGTACCCGATGGCACGGACAAGAATGAGTGACCGCCAAGGCAAGCCGATCAAGATGCAATTGAACTGACTGGAATATTGCGGTGCAGGAAGCATCTCATTTATGATCTTGTTTTTCGGTCTGCTTGTTTGAATATGCTCCTGACCTTTGATGTACCGTACGCTACACCATCCATCTCGGGAGGCCAGCCCAAGAAGCTGGGACGATTGGCGCTAAGACTTTGTGATGGAGAATGTCTCGCATTTTGACCCGATGTACCCGCCAGTGTGGTAGACGTTCTCGAGACACTGTGACTGGCATGGCAGCCCAGGAACAGTAGCGCAGAGAGGATTGTGCCCTAGAGAGACGTTGGACTCGCGTCCAAGGCGACGTGTCTCGGGAGCAAAAGGTACGTTGTGAAACGGGCCAACGTCATCTACTTTGAGGCTACTTGACTCAAGTGTAGCCACCTTCCTCCTGTACAGTATAGTATCCTACCTCAATGGCCTAGTCCTGACTACGTGAAGTTGTACGACTTTCCACAGGGGACATCATGATGGCGACCAAACATCAGGCGGGGGAACTGAGATGAGGGGCTGAATTCAACAGGAACAGGTGGGATGTGCGTGCAGTCATTGAATATGAAAGAGTGGGCGGGTGGGCGATCAGGGGCATTTACATATGGAGATTTGCAGACCGTCAGATTTGACAAGCTCTCCCTTGGTGTTCGAGATACAGGTTTTCTGAGCCTTAGGCCATTTCCCTTACAATCCCAAGCAATTACCCTCGTAGCTTCTCCTCCGATGTGTGTGTACTGGGGTAGAAGAAGAAAAGAATTGGGAGAGAACCGGTGTATTCTCCCCTATTATTCGATGCGCGTGCAGTACAGTACATCTACTCCTGGCGAGAGTAGGTAGCTACCCCTGAGCCGGCGTGTGGTTAGCGTTAGGCTATCTGTCCTTCGGTTGCAGAATGAGGCACACACCCAGGAGGCCACGCTTCTTTCTCTTCCTCCATGACCGGATCTGCGCATGTCTAATTTCAAATGTTACTCTACAAGTCACTAATAATTCAAGGCGATTGGCCCAGGCAGTGGATGGATGGCCTCAAGAACTGCCAAGCCAAGCGAGCCCAGCTTTTCCCACACTGAGAACCTGAAGAGACTAATCACTCCGTACCGCCTGTGATAGTTCATCAGCTAGAGAAGAACGGAAGGGGGCTAGCATTAGTCTAAGACAGAACCACGGCACCAACGGCGGCCATCCTCGGGAAGACACAATGCAAAACGGTGCGGAAAACTAACTGTAACTACTCAAAGAGGCCCATAAGTGAGTGGAGAGAGATGGCCCGGCAATACGGGTCAGTCCAGCATGTACACGTAACGGGAGTGAAAAGCCCCAATAGAAATGGGAGAATCTAACATGATTCTCTTCTTGGAGGCGCGAAGAACAATGGCGGCGCAATACATACGCGTATGCTGGGGAATCGTTTACTATCCTAACGTCAGATTGTTACCGCAGATGGAAGGAAGCTGAACGGACAAAGATGACGCCTTGTCTCTACTCTATTGTATTGCACACTAAATGGGCAAAGTGATGCGTATGTGTGTGGATATGAATGGTGTGTGTGTGTGTG